CCTGGGGCTCTATTCTTGAAACGAAACGTATACGAAAGTCTAGGGAAATGTTACAATATACGTTACGTATACTATAGTATTTCCCTAGACTTTCGTGTACGTTTCTTTTCAAGAATAGAGCCCCTGCTCTTTTGTTAGGTGGAAAGTCTCTCGATCGAGTAGGCACACAAAGCGCGGGAAGTGAAACATGGGCTGCGTTCAGCAGACTCAGTAGTTTTACAACCGTTTTGTGATTCGTAGCGCTGATTGGATTATACTTTTAGGCCCGTATTCAGAACGCGCTTATAACGATGTTAGCACGCTAACATACTATACTTTACGTCACGCATATTATAGAATTTCAAAGATAAAAGTGCGCTTTTATCGATAAAAACGCGTTCTGAATACGGGCTTTAGATTACAAATAAGAATTTATTAATGCAATTTAATAATGAAAATCAAATTATATTGTGGAATCCTGGAAGTAAGTAAAATATATTTTACTTTGATCGATTATAATTTACGATAAAGTACAATAAAGGTTTTTTCGTCATGTTGCGTATGAAGTCCGTTAAAGTGTAATAACTGTATAGTGTTCTTTGATAAATCAATTTGTTTGCAAAATATTTATCTTTAAACGTAATTATAATTAAATGAATATAATGTCTAACTTGATTGCATTTATTTGCACAAAACATTTAATATTAGAGGTTACTGACCTTGTTTACGGGAACATTTGATACGCGTATTAACTAGTAAGTGTCTATTAAATTATCTTAATTTCGGCAATGCATAAAGAATGATGTACTACTCCCGTACAATATATATCAAAATGATTAATTAAATTAGTCATATGTATATATTTATATGTTTCGCTGAAATTAAGATAATATAATAGAAAGTTCACTAGCTAGTATATATATCAAGTGCTTGTTTTTTACGCTCCGCCATTTTCCTCTGGCTAGGTCGTTCAGAAATGTACACATCAGAGAGGGTACCTTATCCCTACCATTTCACTCATACAGACTCCTCGCAATCACCTGCAAGGTGAAGTTTCTGAACGCAGCCCAGAATAGAGCCCCAGGGTGCAAGTCTCCCGATCGGGAACACCCGACACGTTTCTGAACGGACCTCCTAGGTAACGCTGAGGTACTCTCAATTGGTTTCTGAACGGCATTCGGGAGCTTGGGTGCTCCCGAGTGTAGCTCAGAGATGTTAGCTATTTACATATTTATTAACTTTTATTCCGAGTGTGAGTGTTCGCGATTTTGCCGAGAAGCGATTTCTGTTAATAGTTTATACACGCCGCGAAATGAGGTTAGGAGTGAATGTGCGTGACTGTCACCGCGATCGCGAAAAATGTCTAAGTTCAACTGATAGTTAAGTTCGTAAAGTCATCGCGGCCGGGAGTGTTTTTAAAACAATTTTATTTCATCCGTTCGTAAAACCACTCTCGTTCCGAAAACCAGACAGTCACGTACATATAAATTAAATTGAATATACTAGTGAGTTTAGGGTCGCGATGGTATTAATTATTTTAATTGACTTATTGTTTTTTTGTTGTGCCGTATTCGCTCAGTGGATTCGATGTGGCGAATGCGCATAATAATTCTTAAATTTTATACTTAACATCCAAATTTCTCCAGCCTCTGATTGGCTGATACGAGCCGACCAATCGCGGTCTTTTGTAATTGGTCGAGGGGCCAAGTCATCCAAAGGCCCCCCTAATTTAACAGCCAATTAAGCTCGGCGCGCACTCGTTATGGCGGATCCACATGTGCATTACATAGACTATCCACTGTCCCCTAAAATAAAGTATTTCAAGCGTTACGGTATAGAGGGGGCAGGTAAAGGGCGAATACGGCGACTCGCCGCATTTATCGAAACATTTAAAAAAGTGCCACCCGGGAAACACGGTTAGTTATAAATGTATAAACTGCAATTTTAAGGCCAAAGGCAAGTATCCATATAAGAACATAAAGGCACATTACACCAAGTGCCACGTGTCTCCCGCAGTGGATGCGGCGGGTCCAAGCACTCGCGGTAGCCTCGGTGAGTGCAATAGTGGGACCCAATCATCGTTTAGCAGTGCGGCTAAAGCGACCACGCGATTGGCGGAGACGGTTGGAGGTTCGGATAAGCGCCAGGCCGCGACGACGGGTTCGCGGCAACTCACGCTGCCGTTGACTGCCACCCCTTCGCCAGCAACAACAAAGGCCAATACTGAGAGGACGTTCATAACACCGACGAGCAGAGCCCCCTCGTACGCGGCAGTCACTGCGGGCCCGTCAACCAGGAGTACAACATCTTTCACCACAGCCCGCAGTAAGACTGTTGTGAAGAGCGCCGCGCCTATCGCAACATCGAAGGAGGCCAGGAGATGCGAGCCCGCCGCAATGAGAAGTCGCCGACGACCGCCACGCAGGGATGCGTGAGACCAGTGACGGTTTACGACATCGAGACTAACGCCATCAGGTGGCGGGCTGGCACAACCGATAG